CCCGCGCGGCCGAGCTTTTCCCTTACCTGTATCGGGGGGACGCCGCCGCCCGGACCGTCCACTGTGTCGGGCGAGTTGTCGAACACTCGGTCCCTGTACAAAGACCACAGCCCGACGTTCGGGAGGAAAAGGAGAGCGGCTATGAGCAGCCCGGCGAACTGCAGCAGCCTCTTCTCTTTCCGCCTCATCTCTCCCCGGGAAAGAACCAGCGGCGTGTGGAAGCAGCGGCGGTGGGGAAACTGGCGAGCCCTGGACCTCCGCTCTTCTGAGCGGAGACAACTTTCACTGTGACTGGGGGCACGGACACCGGGGCTTGTGACGCGCCGCGGCTGCGAGCTCCGCCGCTAGGGGGAGCGAACCACTGTGCCTCGGCTGGAGCGGGGAGGAGGAGGGAGGCTACCCTCCGCTCACATCCTCCTCCCCTCAGCGGCACAGTGTTCGCTCCCCCAGCGGCGAGCTCGCAGCCGCGCGCGTCACAAGCCCCCAGGTGAGTCCGTGCCCCCAGGACAGTAGAAAGTTGTCTCCGCTCAGAAGAGCGGAAGGCTCCAGCGCTCGCCAGCTTTCCACCGCCGCTAGTTCCACACTCCGCTGGTTCTTCCGGGAGGAATGAGCGGCGAAAGAGACGCGAGGCTGCGCTGTCCCAGTTCGCCGGGCTTGCCCCATAGCCGCTCTCCTTTTCCTCCAACGTCGGGCTGTGGTCTTGTGTAAGGAACCGAGTGTTCGGGGACAACTCGCCAACACAGTGGACGGAGTCCGGGCGCGTGCGCCCCGATACAAGGTAAGGAAAAGCTCGGCCCGCGCGGGTGCCTCCAGTGTAGCGTGGCGTGGCGTGTCCGGTAGGGCTCGTGCTTCCCCCCCCCCCGCCCCCCGGGTTGCTCTCGCCGTATGTCTTACGCCCGCGTAACGTTCCCACCAGAAACTAACTCAAAGTTCAGTTTTAGTCGCTGCAGAAAATGAGAATTACAGCGCTGAACACCGCTGTCGCACTCCCCGCTTGTCTCGGAGCTCCCACGTCTCAAACGCTTCACCCCCCTCCCCTCGCGTCCTATCTCCTCCAATACAATCAAACCTTGACAATTTTCCCATCGTGTGTGTGCCATTTATGTACTTATGTATGCACTGTATAAATGTGTGTGTGATGATGTGAATTACAAGTGGACCCTCTTTCTGCACCGTGTTAGCGTGCAGGTCATAGTTACCGGCGGCCATGATCGCAGCGCTGGAGCCAGCGTAGTAGCTAAACCCTCGTAGCTAGCGCCGTCGCAGCGCAATTGCAGTAAACGGGATATCAGGAAGGTTGTCACGATGTTCCCTGAAGCCTGCTGACGTTCACAGCAGCTGCAGCTCAGGGGTCAGGGTCCGGTTGTGTGGTGTCCCACTCCTAGCTCATGACCCAACCCCCCCCACAAATTAAATATCCTTCATCCTCCTTTTACACTCTGAAGTTTGTGTTCGGGCAAGTTGTTGTTGTATTCAAATCTTGTTTGAGCTCACTTATAGTCCATTAATATTGAGTTCTATAAATGTCAGGAAATGTGAGCTTCTCTTTTTTTTTTTTTTTTTTTTTTATTTTTAGTTTCCCATGGTCAGCATATTTGCGTATTAGTTGTTCTATTCTGTCTTTGTCAGCGTGTCCCAATAATACAACACCAAACCTCATGACTTTCAAGTCTTATAATGATACAAAAAAAACTGAACATACGCAGCAAATTCCTCACATGCTTAGAAAGCAGCGACCTAGCGAGAAATGTTCGCTTTTTTAGACTAAAATGAACTTGTTGTATACTCTTCCAACTTGGATAAGTTGTGTGATAACAAGTTTGAGAGACACCAATAGGATTTCTATGAATCAGAAGTTGGATTTCCTTAAAGACTCTTAAGACTTGTGCATCGGTGATACTGGAACCACTGCATCCCTTATGGATGTTAAACCCTCTGTGCAGCATGAACAGACACATAAACACTGGCGCTTATTACCTAATTTCGACTGATCCATTCATAAAAACAACCAATACATCTAGATCAATTCCTGCACTAGTTTTGCCCTCACAACATCTTAACCACCCACTGTTCCTACATTTAAGCCTTGGCACATGTACACACGTTGCCCTGATTTTTTTTTGTTTTTTACTGTGGGACTTTCTAGTTTAACAAGTGGCAAAATTTCTGACATCTTTTCACTTAGCGCCATCACATAGTTCCGCACGGGTGCCACCTAGCTTTACTTTCCTGTATTATTGACAGTGCAGAAGAATTGTTTAATGGAAAACAGATTTTACCCTGGTGTGAAACTAGTCTGTGATACTCTGACTCCCTAGGGTTTTAGGCAGGAGCTGCATGCCTAGTATGCAGCAAGTAGTGTCAGGCTTCATTTACCCATATCAATGTTATTTCCTCCTTCTAAATGCTGCATCATGGACGACGTCCCATGTCCGGTTTGAGTCCCAGAATTTAATGCTTGCATCTTAAACAGGTTAAAAATAGTGGTTTTCACTGAACTGCAAGACAGAGATCAATAATTTTCAACATCAGAGCACCTCGAAAAGCGATATCTTGGGAAAACTTCAACAACATGGTGCCCTTCTACAGGTCATGTTTCTATCTTCCTCCGAGGAACTAACCAGGGGCCTGTATTATGACTGGCCTGCGATTGACTATCATCCAGCTGCACAAGAAGCTCATCAAAAAGCATAAAGAACGGTTGGGAAAGAAAAAAGATAGAGAATGCACACATTGCTGTTAGTGAGTGCGTCCACACTAAAAATTTCAAAAGAACCCAAACCAAAACGGAGCACAGTGTGGCAGACAATAGTAGCCCTCGGCTACTCCTCACACTTGAGACAGAATCGTGCTGGAATCATGGAGTCCTTTCATGGTGATGGTGGTGTGTGATTAGTGCTGCTGCATCACTCCTGCCATCCGTTGTTTGTGTTGTGGTGGTGCCTTACTCAGATTGCGCCAGCTAACTTGCCTTGACTGGAACCTCCTATTGTAGGTGTTTAGTAGAGAAGGACTGATGTCAGTGCAAGTCTTACAGGCACTGATGCCGTTACATGTTAACATCTTCATGCAGCAATTACAACTAGAAATAATGTATCCCAAAATGGCTCCCAGACAACAATTAAATCTGCACGATCTCTTCACTTGTTCGGGGCCGTCCATAAATCCACATCAAAAGTCCACCAGTGTTATGCTCTCTCGCCTTGTTCTTGTCGTTATCAGCGGGCTAAAGCTAATTTGCAGGGCTGGATCGTGGGCGCGATAACGCCGTATTGTATCTGCACAGATTCCCTCAAGGCATTTCTCTTCTCTGCCTCTCTCTCTCGTTTCTCGTCTCTCTCTGTTTCTCTCTCCTGCAATCCACAGTTGGATTTGATTATTTCAAATGACAAGAACAAGTTACCGAATGGAATTAAGGACATCTACAACGACCGGGAAATCCGTTACAATTTTAGCAAAACTTGATAACCAGCCTGTCAACAACCAGATGCGTTGATCACCAGACAGCTGATTTGAGAAAAAAAAAATGACAACAATGCATGCCACTTTCTTCCAATAATGCGTAGAGCTTTTAAAAGGCAAACAAACCATTGTAAGTAGTTAACAAGCCTCAGATCCTTATCAGCCAAACAATAGAGTCGGCAGGTTTCTCTTAATCCACTCACAAACGCCTCATTTAAACTTACTAGCCGTGACTGGAAACATGCCGACCTGATTTCTCCTCTGCACATCCAGCTGGTATTAACTATTGTTCTGCTTCAGTCACCTGAAGCGGAGACGCAATGTGGTGAAGCTGTAATTACAATAAGTGGGGTTTGCCCTCGAAGGTTAATGTTAACAGAGTACGCGCGTTGTGCAATACTGACATGAAGTGACGAGCAGAGGTGGACATCAAAAAGCTCCACAGCTCCATGAGTTCACATTTATGGATCAGATATTACTCCATTACAAGTGAAAATTGTTCTGTCAAATTCCTATTTATTTATTCATCTGATCGCCCAATCAGCCACTGCAAGGTAGCTATAGCTTCCCTCCTCAACTGAACAAAATTCAATAATGCAAAACTTAAAAAATAATAAAATAACGTCAAATACGAAACCAATCAGTAAAACACAATAACAAATAATAACAACCAATGACAGTTCCACGCTTTACACAGTCAGTAAAACATCTGACAACTATAAACAAAAGGCAGCTATGATACAGTGACCGACAGCCCTGAAGATAAAGTTGAAAAAACACCAATGTAAGTGTTCGACACAGGAGCACCACCTGAGACTGAGACCTGACCGATCTGTTTACCGGGTTGCCACAGCGGCTAGCAGCTCAGTGGAAAGGAGCCAATCGGCTATTTATTAGCAGGTTTACCACTGTTAAGACAAAGAAAGAAAAACCTCTACTATAGCTGCTAATTGTGTGAAGACGGTCTATGACAACTTGCATCGCTAGGTTTAAACTGAGCTGTTCAAACATGACTGAGAGTGTAGGGTGGTGTGATTGGTTTTTCTCCTGTGATGAACACACTGTTATGGCTCTTATCAACATTTATTTTCAAAATAAAAGCAAATGACATTTCCACATGTAAACCAGTAAGAATGTACTTCATAGAAACTGTAGTGGAATCCACATAGCTAAAAAAATTGTCTTTGTAGTTAGTGGAAGTAAAAGTATCATACTAACTCGCGAGTAAAGTATGAGATGTCCAACATGCAGGACACTGACCTCAGTGCCAAACACAGTGCTTTCTCCGAAGCGTTGACCGACTGCACCGTGCTAATGCTATACACCACTGTGTCACCTACAGCAGCTATAAGTGTTTGTAGGCCGGGGATGAAGTGTATTTCATACTGCTGTTAGCAAACCGGAGCTGCTTACAGAGCCTTCCCCGCCTGGACCAGTACAGAGAGAAGGTAATATTGCACATATTCCACGGCTCTA